AGGTGCCTACACCTCCAGACATTCACTCAGGCAATCTGGATAGAAACTGACAACAAGAACGCCACTGACATCGGTTGGTAGCCATATCCTGTAGTGTCACCAACCAGGCACAGTGAGGATCACGCCGTCCCCATCCTGGAAGACGAGTAGCACCGACAGCACCCAAGCGTTTCGTGGTCTCCTTCATACTCCTCGGTTGGCCACCTGTCTGTTTGCGTCACTCTGAGTTGGGCATGGATAACAGCACTCTCTTCGGCAAACGATGGTTCGGCATACATAACACATGTACCAACCAACGCAGCTTCTGGTGCTGGACACATTCTTCAATGGAAGTGCCCGTTACACAACCGAAAACACGCTTTCTAACTGCCTCGTTACGGATTCGCCGACACCAACCTACATGAGCTATGGTTCTGAGACACCTGAAGACGTCTCAGTCCCGCTGCTCGAAAAGGCCAAGTCTCACAGCCATGCAAGGACATTGTGAAAAAATCTTGCACTTTCATGAATCTGCAGACCAAATAAGCTACTCGCTTTCAGATTTACTTTCCACGCATGTTCTGTCGCTTGGCGAAGTTGCCGCTGGATTCGGTCGATAAACATTGAACGGAACCCTGGTAGGTGTACCTCAAACAGCAGAAGGCATTTTTTCTACGTAATGGTCTGTTCAGTTGGCTAGAACTCTATCCGCTGGTCATTACATGTCCATCTCAGCCACGCGATGAGATAGACAACGCCGAAGGTCGAATCTTCAGGAGTATGCTGAATTGGCCCAAAGAGCTATTCCTGGAGCCTCGTGTGGAATCCAGTTTTGCGGAGCATGCAAAGTACTATCGGTTCCAAAAAGGACACTTAATCCACATGATGCAGCTTTTTGAAGCGCTGTTCGCCTATTCGGTCAATCATCGACTGAGTAGAGTGTGGTGCGCAAAGCGTGCGTGTGTGTGTGTGTGCGCGTGCGTATGCACATCCGTCCAACCAATCAGCGGGCAGTGTGATGAGAGGCCGTCCGTGTGGCGCATAAATTTATTTGCCATCTCAACGGTAGAGTCGCACGCTGGTCGCAAAGATGGTGGCGAAGGACTTCATTGATCTCTTTGCGAAGTTCAACTATGCCAACCGTGTCGCGGTTGAGGACTTTTCTGACCGTATCAATCTCTTCACGGTTGTGTTGTTCCTCATCGCGTGCATTATCGTTTCGGCGAAACAGTACTTTCTGAACTCAATTTCGTGCTATATCGCTGTGAAACCGACGGGCGACAACTACAACAATTACCTAACGGACTACTGCTGGGTCCATGGAACGATTCCGCTCAGAGCTGATGAGCGAATGCCACAAACGCCTTCGGAGTGGGATGAATATGACCGAATACGTCGGATAAGTGAGTCCTGTTCACTGATCCGAGCAGTTTTTCATTGTGCTTTCTACTTTTGTTTATATTAATTGATGGGCCGCTGGTCTTTAGCGCTTGTCTCACAGTTGCTTATACGACCACCCTTTGCCACGGGGGTGTCAACTTCCCACTGACCTTCAGAGTACATACTGGATATAAGACGTTCTGGTTACTTTATCCCGAAGACGCCTAGGTTGTTTGAATTTCCGCGCCAACAAACCAAAGTCCGTGAGACGTCTTCAGTTTTTCCGCGAGATGGCTCAAGTGGTTAAGAGCGCCAATTTACTGACCGCAAGATTCGTGGTTCGAATCCGACCTCTGCCTCTCAACTTGCCCTGTCTAGGCTTGAGCAACCTGGCAGTATCCCAGTCCTCGTGCTTCCTTCGGGTAGCATGGCAGCTAGGCACCGGAAGGGTGCCACAGCTGAACGATTTGCTTTTATTCTCAGTCCAGTCTGTGGCAACTGATAGCTCTAGTTCTTCCGAATTCTCTGACGTTTCCTCATCCTTTCCACTCTCGAAATTGTTCCGCTACCATGTTCGTTGGGCCATTCTTTTAAAAGCGCGATCCCTTTTTGATGATCGTACATTTCTAGGACCAGAATGTCGTTTCCGGAGCCATATTTAACCCCTCCTGTATGAATTTAAACCTCCGCTAATCTAACATTTTCCCACCCGGATGTCTCACAATTATGGTGTGGAAAAGACAGTGAAGGAAGCCCCGCTAAAAACCGTGTACGAATGGCTTATCAGGTCCCTAAGACTTCATCAAACTTGTGTTCTACCTCGACAGCCAATCAAACGCAGTTCATGAGATGCACTTATTTGGAAAGTTAAACTGATCACCATCATATCATCTTTCCGTATGACCCTAGCCCCTTTTAGTTGCACAATTATGCTTCAGAACGTCCAGCCTCTGAACAAACCCTTTACAATTCGGGGGTAAATCATTGGATAGACGTAATATACTACTCATAAGGTTGCTGAAAATTCTTCGACAACCCACGACCGGTTTCGCCCTTCCGTTTCGGGCTCATCCGGTGGACGTGGTCACCAAGTTTCCGGTGACTTTTGTTCTAATTGAACCCAAATTGCACGAATTTAGCAAATGACGCTCATTCACCAACCAATTTAGTTTTGCGGGGGACTCACTTGGAACCCAGCTGAATCTCTTGTTTATGATGTTTTTGAGCGTTGGAAGTTTTGGAGAACTTTACATACCCGCAGAAATGTGTCTGAATCAGGTTTGTTAATTTTCGTCACTCGCGACATTAGAACGTAGTGGAGAGGGACCAGTAAACTCAAGAAGATTGGTGAAACACAGTTCTTTTTCCCCTATTTTTCTATGGGAGTGTTTTTTATACGAATTTTCTGTGGGCTTTTATATTTTTCGAGCTTTTATCCACTTTCTGGTGAACATTTTGTAGCCTTTCTCAAGATTACTTGCACACCAAAAACAAGATGGTTTCCAACCAAAGCCGTCTCAAGTCTAATTTACTGCGATGTTGGAGGTAGCACAGCCTCCTTACGGAGCGCATTGCTCACGAGGGCGCTAAAAACTCTTCGAAAGCCCGTGATCGGTTTGACCAATTCATCCACTTCGGGCTCACCAGACTGTCCCCGAGTTTTGTTAAATTTAGGTTCTACGTGGACCCGAATAGGGATCATTTCCAGATAAACCTCGCCAGAAAATTAACACCCGCCACCCGAAATGGATTAGAAAAAAAGGATATGAAATTTGTATTTATAGTTTTTATTGAATAGCGCGAGTGAAATTGGGATATGTCATCAATAATTTGCATGAAAAGGTCTGTTTCTCGATATCTTTGCCTCCGAGCGAACTCACACAAGTAGCTGTCCACTAAAGATCAATGTGTGCCGCGTTGGCGTTTATTTTGCATCGTTTCAATTCCTTGGTATGATACCCACATATCAAAGATGATGATTGAGACGGGAGCGACGCAGGCCTGGATTGTGTCCATCAAAGTGGCCGCACCTCGATCTGGCATTGCATACATGAACACCTCTTTAGATTTCCGGCAGATCCTTCCGAAAATCCACTGATGGGGAGACCACTCACCCTGTGTGGTTTTTACGGTGAGATATTACCGTTTCATCGATCTCGGCGTGTAGACCTGGGTCACCGATAACTGTTGGAGTCTGCAAAAGCCGCCGCAAGCCGTAAACTTCGCGGAGAAAGTTCTTCCAGTCAACAGCGGTCGTGTGGCCAGTGGGTAATTCCTCTGAGCGGAATTTGATTTGTGCCAAATTATTGGACCGGCAATAAATGTGAATGGAATTACTGTCCTAAACTCCATCCTAGACCGATCCAACCAAGTTCCACTTCCGAAGACCTATGTCTTGCCGACACTATCGGGCATTTTACCTTCATCTACCAGAAACAGTTGAAAGTGTCATTAAGTGGTCATTGTTGCATAAACCTTGCTGGTGGATCACTCCGTGGCTTTGCAAAAAAGACGTATTTCCGTCATAAAGTTGACTTGCGATTTTACGTCCGATAGGAGAACATTTTTGCACAAAATGAACCTAGATGCGGATAAGGAATTGTGTTTTGATCACAAATGAGTCATGGTTGTGTGCGTACATTAAACTGGATCTGGCTAATTTGGGGGTGGGGGGTTAACTTTTCGTGCATGCACTTTTTGCATTAGTGACGGAGTTATTTGGAAAAGATCCCCAAATTGTACGAAGCTCGCCAAAAACCCTAATTTACACATCATTTAGTTTGGAAACTAGATTTAATTCCAGCTCAATCTCTTGTTCAGGTGGAACGGAAACTGGGGAGACTGCGCCTATTTGATAAACCCGAAGTAGAAGGTCGAAACCAAACGTGGACTGTTGAAGAGTTTTGGGCAACATTATGTGTAGTTTTCTTCAAGAACGTGTTTTTTTAAGTCACACTGCAATCTGGACTCAATTTTTCTACTTTCTAATGAAACGATGTGTGCCTCTCCGGTGTTCTAATTTTGTCTGCAGAGAGTTGCAGTATCCTGCTTCCTTCAGTTTGCACTTCGGTGTTTTCGCATTTGAGGTCAGCCATGACCAAGGTCAACACAACCCCCGGCCCAGATTGTTCCACTTGTGACATTCATTCAAGTACTATTAGCTAACCTTGGAGAATAGATCGCAAGCCCCTCGATGGAAATCTGTTGACCTGTGCACAGTTGCCATCTTTACAACTAGCGCAACAGTGACTGGGAGATTCTGGCAAGCTGGTCGGCCGATCGGTACAACTACGATAGTTGCTGGCTCGTCGAGGTAGCCGTCATGTTTCTCAAGCCTGTACACACTCTCGCCTGTTCAGATCAGATAGGCTAAGTGCGGTCGCCAGGGGGTGAGATAGCTCAAAGCTTAGAGCGCGAATTTACTGACGAAAAGGTCCGTGGTTCGAACTCGACCTCTGCCTCTCGACTTCTCCTGTATAGGCTTGGGCAGCCTTGAATATTCCATCCCTCGTGCTTCCTTCTGGTGGCACGGCAGCTAGGCGCCAAAAGGGTGTTACAGTTGAACGAAACAAAGTTCGCTCGCCTCGTATGTGGGACAACCGGAGTTCCAATCCCGACGTGGCCAAGGGGATATGCACCGCTGATGAGCTCTAATAATAGCGGAACTTATACTTGTTCCATTTGGTGTGGACTCACCGGACAGAATGGGTGATTGAGTTTCATTTACACGAGTCCCCGAACTACCCCCAACGTCATTGTTTCTTCAGCATGCTTTCGCTGCAAACGTACAGGCAGAAGTTCGGCTTAACTGGGCATCTGTGCATCAAACAGGGAAGCGCTGATACGTTTGTCGGCTGACTGAACCGTCCATTTGCTAAAAATCTGGACACACCCTGTGTTACAGTTTCATTTTCATCAGTGCTGAGTTGTCGTACGAATTGACCGTCCATTTGAAGCCTGCCACTATAGCACGAATAGAATTCCTTTATCTGTGATAATATACCAGTTTGTATATAAGGTTACAGTTCTCTACCTACCTCGTAGAGGAAGTAAAAAAAATCGATATTTAAAGGCCCAGTTTGTTTGAAGGGCGGTTCTTGCAAGACGAAGTCCAGTTGGTGAAGTTTCCATGACTCGCTGTGACAGCTGGACGTCCTGTTCTCTAGTGCCTGAGACGACACAACGCGGAAACTCAGTAGAATGATGTTCCATGAATCAATCGGTAAGCTTGATCGGGCTTAAAAAATCCTTCAACTGTGACACCCTTTCGGTGCCTAGCTACCATGCCATCAGAAGGAAGCACGAGGAATGGGATGCTGCCAGGGGGAATACTGTGCCTGATAGGGAAGAAAACAACCGATAGTGGGCTGTAGAAGAGTTCTCACCGAAAGGTCCTTATTGTCCTCGGTTTGGACAGAAGAATCAACAGATTCCACCGAGGCTTTTCTTTTGAACCAGGAACATGGATTTTTCACCTTTTGGTTTACCGAAAAACAGCTGATATCTGATCGATCCCCGCAAGGATTGCGCATGCTAATTCATTGGCTAGAAGCATGATGCAGGGTGCGGACATTTCAACAACCATCGAAAGGCTTACAGCAAGATACCCAGCTTACTTTCAGATGAACCCAGCCACTTATTTGACCAAGCAAGGATGAGTCACTCTCCTGGGATGCAATAGCATGATAGTGTCGCTGGAGCCACGGATTGTGTCACCGGCGCTAACTGACTTCTGATCTAGGGTGCACCTTCAACCCGTGCACAATCAAGTGCAACGCAAAGGGAAACATGTGGCAATACCGGCAAGGTCGCTGTATGCATGAATATGTCTCATCTGCTCTGTCCAGATTCCTTTCCCGGAGGTTTTTGATTTGGAGGCAGAGTTTATCCAACTCACCTAGATGAACAATCAATGGACCGCCGGTCCCACAAACGCCTTCCGGCCAGCAGAGCAAAAAGTGTATGTGCGAAAAGTTATCCCGCCCCCCAACTTTTTTCCAGCTCCAATTTAACGTACGCACAC